CAGCATATACATTTTTAAGCAAATAATTATTTAGAATTAAAAAAAAAAAAAATTTTACATTTTACATTTTTTTGCTACATCGGTTATCTACATCTACATATACTATTTATATTATACATCTAACATGTAGATTGTACATGTTCCATTTAGATTCTACATCTCCTCCGCTAGGGGTTGCTCGCGCACTGAACGCGGCAGAGTGTGCGAGAGAGAAAGAGATTGGTACCGGGTCGTTGGCAGGGGGATGCAGAGGAAGCAACAGAAAATTAATTTCTTCATTTTGGCTATAATTTTTATCCGATCTGATTCAGATTCGGGAATTTTGGTAGATATGGTCATTCTCTACGATACTGCATTTTTAGTTTTATCGTATCTTTAAAATTGTGCCTGCCACAGATTTTCGTCCTTTGTGGGGGCGGAAGGGGGCGGGGCGAAATTTTGAAATACACTTGTAGTAGTGTGATATCACATGAGTCTGGAAACCAAATTTGGTTACCCTAACTCTTATAGTCTCTGAGATCCAGGCGCTCAACAAGACGGACAGACGGACGGACGGACGGACGGACGGACGGACGGACAGGCAGACATGGCTATATCGACTCGGCTATTGATGCTGATCAAGAATATATATACTTTATGGGGTCGGAAACGTTTCCTTCTCTGCGTTACACACATCCACTTTTACCACAAATCTAGTATACCCCTTAACTCTTTTTTGAGTACGGGTATAAAAAACAACTTTGCAACCCCGGTCCCGCCGGAACTGTCGCGAGATATTACTTCGCCGGGGGGAAATGCCTATAGGCTCATCTATTTTTAACTATGTCTATGGTCTTTCTTCGAGACTGTGATAGTAGCTTTAGTTTTATGTGTGTTATGTGATGCGATATCCTTAAAATGAAATCAAACGCTGTTAGCCTTGACGATATTAACCCTAAATTTGTTAAAATACTTCCACTAATAACACTACTCGACAAAATCGAACTTTTTTTTTCCTCAAGGATCCAAACCGACTTTTTCTGATAGATATGGGGCTTTAAAATTTTTTAAAGAATTATGGTTTTTTTTCTATGGCAGAACTTTTTTTTTGAAGAATTTTTGAAGTCTGGTATTTTTTTTTAAAGCTTTTTTCAGAGGTAGCGCTTGTTGTTTTCACATAACTCTAGTATCTTACGTCTGGTTGTAAAGTTTGCTGGTTTGCTATTTTGAAAAGATAATTGAAACAGCTAGAAGTTAAGCCTAAACACTTTGTGATTTCAGCTTACCGTCTGGGAAATATAAAGCATTGAAATGCAAAAATGATGATTTTTGTGCGGTATTTTTTACGAAATTTTGACTTTAAAAACTCAGGAAAAGTCGAAAAAAAATTATATCCTGTGTCCTCTATTTTTTTATGTATAGGTGCATTTGGCGTCGTTTAAGGTATCGCTCATTAAAATCCATGGAGAGACTTTGGAGCTTAAATTCGTTAACCAAACCTAAAATATGGAGAAAATGAACAAAAAATACCTTTTGGAAGGTTGCGAGACCAACTGCCCATTGGGAACAAAGGAACGCGATCAGGTACCAAATGTACAAACCTTTTTCGTTTGCTTTGTTCCCAATTGGCAGTTGGGCCCGCAACCTTCCAAAGGTATTTTTTGTTAATTTTTTCCATATTTTAGGTTTGGCTAACGAATTTTATGTGAAAAAAACAAGTGCTACCTCTGAAAAAAGCTTTAAAAAAAATAACAGACTTAAAAAATTCTTTAAAAAAAAGTTCTGCCATAGAAAAAAAACCATAATTCTTTAAAAATTCTTTATCAGAAAAAGTCGGTTTGGATCCTTGAGGAAAAAAAATGTCAATTTTGTCGAGTAGTGTTATCAGAGTCTTAAACAGACAAAAGAAAGGTCTGAGTATCTGTTACATCAATGCACAAGGCTTGACAAAAAATATAGATGAACTTCGATTTTTATTTGCTAATTCGTCAGTAGATATTATATGTGTGTCCGAAACTTGGTTTATGTCTAGTGTATGTGTTGTGATTATAATGTTTTTCGATCGAACCGTTAGGGACATGGTGTAAGAGTGGCGATTTATGTCAGTATAAGATTAAAATCTAGGGTTTCAATTAGGCAACCGGTGCAGTTGACTTCTTGACTATTACCGTAAAAACCATAAAAAATACGTCTGACACACTAATCGGCTGCTTATATCGCCCGCACCGCAATATTAAATACAGTGATATGCTAAATGTTAGCACCGAACTGTCTCTGACATATGCTAATATAATTTTGGCGGGTGACTTCAACAGTAATATATTGAAGGAGACTCACCTCACAAACAATCTTGAGGCAATTGGTCTAGGACCTGGCAATTCATCCCAGCCCACCCTCTTCAGCAATACATGCAATACTTTACAGAACTTGTTCTTTGCAAACAACGCACAAAAAATTCTTCCTTATGACCAACATGACCTGATAATTTTTTTGAAGTCTGGTATTTTTTTTAAAGCTTTTTTCAGAGGTAGCGCTTGTTTTTTTACGAAATTTTGACTTTAAAAACTCAGGAAAAGTCGAAAAAAAAGGAACGCGATCAGGTACCAAATGTACAACCCTTGTTCGTTTGCTTTGTTCCCAATTGGCAGTTGGGCCCGCCGCCTTCAAAAAGGTATTTTTTGTTCATTTTTTCCATATTTTAGGTTTGGTTAACGAATTTTAGCTCCAAAGTCTCTCCATAGATTTTAATGAGCGATACCTTAAACGACGCCAAATTAACGCACCTATACACAAAAAAATAGAGGACACAAGATATAATTTTTTTTCGACTTTTCCTGAGTTTTTAAAGTCAAAATTTCGTAAAAAATACCGCACAAAAATCATCATTTTTGCATTTCAATGCTTTATATTTCCCAGACGGTAAGCTGAAATCACAAAGTATTTGGGCTTAACTTCTAGTTGTTTTTATTATCTTTTCAAAATAGTAAAGTTCTTTACAACGAGACGTAAGTTACTAGAGCTATGTGAAAACAACAAGCGCTTCCTCTAAAAAAAGCTTAAAAAAAAATATCAGACTTCAAAAATTCTTCAAAAAAAAGTTCTGCCATAGAAAAAAAACCATAATTCTTTAAAAAATTTTAAAGCCCCATATCTATCAGAAAAAGTCGGTTTGGATCCTTGAGGAAAAAAAAAGTTCGATTTTGTCGAGTAGTGTAATCAAAAAGAATCACTGTGACATTTTTAACACTACTGATTACAGTGCAGCATTTGACATGGTTAACCACGAAATACTATGCACTAAGCTAGGAAAGATGTTTTGTTTTTCGTCGTCCGCACTACGTCTTGTGAAATAACTAATAGATGCCAAAAATGTATATATGTAAGTAATAATGATCTAAAGCCCATAAATGGATGGGCACTAAAAAACGTGCTGAGTCCAAGCCCAGGACAGTTAAAATGCCTAGTAATCTATAAAAGAGCACTGGACACATCAGCATTTCAACAGTTGTAGATCGGCAACGCATTTATTGAATACGTTGACAGGGCAACGAACCTAGGTATAGTTTTCAACAGCCCTTTGAGTTGGAATGATCATATTCGCAAGGCGATAGGGAAAACTTATGGTCTACTCAAGAAATTATATTATACAAAAGATTTCATACCACTTAACTTAAAACTACTGATAGCCAAAACATGTCTGAGCACCTCACTATTATATGGGATAGAAATTTTTTGCTATACAGATGTTAACAGTAAAAAAAGGCGTAATGTGATATTTAACGAAATAGCTCGCTATGTCTATAGACTAAAAAGGTCAGATCCCGTTTCGGAACTATCTCTAAATAAATGGATAAGCGCTAGGCCTTTAATTTTCATGCAAAAAATTATCATTACCAAAGAACCAGCTCAATGAACTATGCTCTACAGTGTCTAAAAGAAGGAACGATTTTGTCAGCTTAATATGTAATCTCGCTAGCTCTGAAAAGCAATTCTTTGTTCACGCAGTCCGACTGTAGAATCAGCTCCCAAATGACGCAAGTTAAACTTAAACTTTACACACACCTCGAAACACAACAAGAAATTTAACTAATACTTATCAAAATACAAAACAAAAAGAAAATTGAATAATGAAACAAAATACTAATAATAAAATAAATTAAAAATATCAATAAACAAACCTAAATGAATAAATAACAAACCATTAAACTTAAAAACTTTAAATAATACTTTAAAAAAAATTAAAAACAAACGAAAATAAAGCACGACTATCAAATTTCTAGAAATAAGATAAATGAATGTATATTATAAGTCTAAAATAATTTTGTGACTAGAGCCCTAAATATAATTAAATCTTGTAGCACTATGATAAAGACCAAAATAAAAACGAGAAGGAACGTGCGAGGCGCTTCTGGGAACGCGACTCTACTTATACTCGTACTCAGTCAGTATATACATTTATGAGCTTATAATTTTTTAGAATTTTAGAATTAAAAAAAATTTACATTTTACATTTTTTTTGCTACCTCTGGTATCTACATCTACTATGTATATTCTACATCTAACATGTAGATTATACATGTACCATTTATATTCTTCATCTCCTCCGCTAGAGACCGCTCGCGTACATAACGAGGCAGAGCCTTCATAGGAGGCGGGGGAAGCAACTAAAAATGAATTTCTTCATTCTTCAATCTGGTAGATATGGTTATTCTCTACGATACTGCGTTTTCAGTTTTATCGTATCTTTAAAATTGTGCCTGCCACAGATTTTCGTCCGGGCGGCGAAGGGGGAATACACTTATAGCACATGAGTCTGGAAACCAAATTTGGTTGCCCTAGCTCTTATAGTCTCTGAGATCTAGGCGCTCAACACGACGGACAGACAGACAGACATGGCTATATCGACTCGGCTATCTCTCCGGAATATACTTGGCGTGCCTAAGCACAGGCCCTGTACTGAAAAATAAAAAATACCCTCTCCAAGAGATTACAACAAATGCCCAAAAAAATATAAATCTTACTGTGAAATAGCGGATCCAACATTTTTTTCTTCACAGTCGTCGTTTAATTGGTAGTCTTCAATATATTTCTTTTTGTTTTCTTTCGCCGAGTCCTGTAATATTAAAATAATATTTTAATTTATGCAAATAAATAAAAAGAAAGAAAAGAAAATAAAGTTTAATTTTTTAGCTGTATGGCACATACATAATTGTCAATTTTTACAGTTTGAGAAGTACTGTGATTCTCATGAAGAACTTACAGCCGAAAGCTTTGGCTGCACGCTTAATGCATAAGAGAGTAGGGTAACGAGTGTGGCTTATTGATTTCTTCGAATTCACATGTACACTGTTCTATTAGTTTCACTCAATCAACCCTCCTACTTTATATACATATGACTGTAGATATACTTAAAAGTATTTATTCAGCTAGCCTGTCTCTTCACTTTAGTCATTTTTCTCGGTTCGTTTTCGTTGGTTTATTTTGTAGACAATGATATGTAAGGTTCCTGGTGTTCCTGGGGAGATCCGAGTCTCTCCCACGCTACCAGAACGGTCGATGGACTTTGCCGTTCCCGTTTTCGGTGAGACGGGTAACAATCACTATGGAGAAAACTAATTGGACTTCCAGCCCTAGGATACGAGACGGTTAGAACGGTTTCACTTATGGAACATTTAACTACCTTTTATCTTCTTTCAAACACAACGGATCGATTCCGGTCACCAGAACTATGCTCGCTTTTGCACGTGTCTTATTATGTATATGCTTTCACAGATTCAATCAGATACATATTACTATATTGAAAGACACTAATGATCCACTGCAGCTTCGCTTTCGATATGGTTCATACAAAATTTTCGCTACTAACATTAGCTCTTACTGTGACTGTCTGAACTTTACCTTTCACAAACATCGGGGTAATCGTACGATGATAGGCAAAGCTTACCCCTAGCTTCATAATTAACGGAATAATCGTAATCGGAATAATCTAGTCAAAGCTTACGCAGAGCTACTACGACTAGCGGAGTAATCATACGATTCTGAACAAAGCTTTTACATACATAAATTCCACCGATCCATACTGCGTCGCTATGTCCAAACCTAAACTTTTCAATTAAAGCTTTAGCTAGCTACTCTGCCATAATTACTCTCTTCTCTTAATTCTAACCCGAAGAGTAAAGACAACGCTCTAGACATGTTCGATATTGGTTTTGGAGTCACAACGGCACACCACAACCCTCAGGATGATGAGCAGACAACCGGTGTTTAGACAGACGTATGTAATATCAACTCAGCTCGCTATTGGGATATATAGAGTATATGGGGACGTGTTCTGTGAAATCCCTCTTTGAAAGATTGTTAAAATAACCTTGTCATAAGGATTTGTATTTCCTTCTGATAGCGCACTTGTATGTCTGTTCGCATTTTTATACATTTCTATGTAATCTTTTTTAAAACAATTTTTTTTAAATTCCATTTCTTGGGTTTGTCCTGAATTATCTTGAATATTTTGAAATATATGATTAATGTTAATGTCTGGTATGTCCGTAGATGCTTCTGGTTGATCTATGAAATTATCTATTAATATTTTCAAGCTTTCAAATAACAGAACCTATATATGTATTACCAATTTTATCGGATGTTTTAATAATTCGAACTAGTCCCAGATTCGCATTAAAGTTGTGATTACATCCGTAGGTATTTATTCGGCTGCTTCGTAAAGTTTCTTTGTCATTTTCCTTTCTTTTTCGAACTAACAACTTTTTTGATATACCTGATTTTTTTTTCAAGTTCGCTTGCCGGCTTTTTCTTTTCACTAAAATACATATAATCGTAATTAAATCTGAGAATCTATTTTCCATTCCTCAATACGAACTGTAACGAGAAGGAACGTGTGAGTCGCTTTTGGGGACGCGACACTACTTATACCCTCACTCAGTCAGTATATACATTTTTGAGCATATGATTTCTAAAATTTTCGAATTAAAAAACAATTTTAAATTTTTTTTCTACATCTGTTATCTACATCTACTATGTATATTCTACATCTAACATGTAGATAATAAATGTACCATTTAGATTCTACATCTCCTCCGCTGGAGGGCGCTCGCGTACATAACGAGGGAGAGTGTGCGAGCGAGAAAGAGAATGAGTAGCTGGGCTCATGCATGAGGAGGCGTGGGAAGCAACTGAAAATTAATTTCTTCATTCTGGCTATAATTATAATTCAGATTCGGCAGTAGAGTAGATATGGGGTTATACTGCCACAGATTTTCGCTCTGTGTGGTGGTGAAAGGTGGCTAGGCGAAATTTTGAAATACGCAGTGTGATATCACATGAGTATGGAAACCAAATTTGGTTGCCCTAGCTCTTATAGTCTCTGAGATCCAGCCGACAAATAAGATGGACAGACGGTCAGACGGACAGACAGACATGGCTCTATCGACTCGGCTATTGATGCTGATCAAGAATATATATACTTTATGGGGTCGGAAACGTTTCCTTCTCTGCGTTACACACATCCACTTTTACCACAAATCGAATATACCCCTTAACTCTTTTTGAGTACGATAATAAGTATAGACTCATCTATTGATGCTGATCTAGAATATATGTATATACTTTATGGGGTCGCAAATGTCTCTGCGTTGCACACATCCACTTTTACCACAAATCTAATATACCCCTTAACTCTTTTTTGAGTACGGGTATAAAAACGTAACAATATATTTACGCTAAAATCTGTGGCATCCACAATTTTAAAGATCCAATATAATGGAAAACGCAGAATCGTAGGTAAAGACATATCTACATATCTACCAGATTGCCGAGTCTGTATCCGGTCGGATCATTATTATAGCCAGAATGAACGGAGGAGGGCGAGATACAATGGCTGGTGTCGGTGTGAGAACCGAGAAAGAGACACTGATGAAGCGGAATAAAAAACAGTTGCGGAATAATGGAAACTGATTAGATATTTTAAAATTCTAATAAAATATATATTATACGAAAAGGGTCTAAACGAAGTTAACCGGCTCCGATACCCATTACGGCTCTTACGTGTAATTACGTATAACATTTTATATTATATACGTTACATAAATAACAAGCTCATACTAGCTGAGAACCGGCAAATGGCGCGGCTCACAAATTTCCCGCTCGTTTTATTGTCATTTTTAAGGGACAGCGTGAATCATGGTCTTATAATTGTATAAGTAGTAAGTAAGCTGAACAGAAAACACATATAAATCAATAAATAAAATTTCAGTGGTGACGTAGAGTCAACCTAACCTAAGGGACAGCGTGAATCATGGTCTTATAATTGTATAAGTAGTAAGTAAGCTGAACAGAAAACACATATAAATCAACAAATAAAATTTCAGTGGTGACGTAGAGTAAATTTTCAGATTATCCCGCCAAAAAGGCAATTCGAATGATCATGCAAATCATCAAGAAAAAAAGCGTTTCATCTCTTTTAGTGCTAAGAAAGAGAAAATATATTTTTACGTTTTTACAGTTCGTATGGAGAAATGGAAAATAAGGAGGTTTTTTCAATGTTTTAGGAATTTAGAATTAATTAATGTGCTGTTCTGAACAACTCTAAGCCAAGACAGACTATATTCGCCCTACTTAATCGGCCAATTCGTTACTGTAAAACCTTCTGAGTTCGCCTTCAGAGAAACGTATGATTCTCCTCATTTCTCATCCATGCAACAACAATGTGCCACAGAATACATATATAACATTTTTATATTGTACGTATGTATATACATATAATGTATATAATCGCGAGGAAAGAAAATTTGGTCTCTGCAATTGATAAATATTGCAAATTTGCATAAACTTACTCACATCGTAAAATTTTTTCGCTTTCAATTCCGTTCAAGACTATTGGTAGCTGTGATTTGCAAGGTGAAGAGTCATCATGATTCATGGTATAATTGATATCCGCGTTAAAGTCCTTGACGATTTCCTTGTCCTTAATTGACTAAAATCACAACATTTTTTTATTTCAAACTAAAAAACATCGGGTACTTACTTTTACAAATTGAAGTGGATACATGCTAATCGGCACGCCATGACTTACTGCAATCAAATACGGAGATAAAATTTTTACATTGGTCCGTTTTGTGGTCTCATATGTCTCATCAAGTACCCAAAACTTTTTCGAATTTTCCTTATCAAAACTTGGACTAATGTGAATGTTAACAATAAGCTCCGACTCGCATGATCCGCCTTTTCTGTATAAAATGGCATTTAAATAGTCCGACGGATTTGAATCGGTAAAACATTTAGCAAAAGCATGTTTTAACACAATTGTACATAAAGCGTATATAAAAAACATAAAGATTGGCCGTTTCATTTTAGATGAATTAATTCTAATCTCATTTATGTTTAAAATATTTTACAATTTGATTTGATTACAATTTCAAATCAGTTTTAAGCTAATGTTATATGTAATCAGATATTGAGCGTGTATAAGAAAAACAATAAGTAATCCATAATAATGATACCTAATAATAATGCCACCGTAATAGGTTAGGCACCATTCTAATATTAAGCCAACATTCTGCCCCAAAAAGTGCTGATGCAGCATATGTCGCTATAGTGGGTCGGCCCTTATATAATTGGCCGTCAGCTATCATACGACTTCTGCACATGTGGCAGGGCATGTGATCGGCCGGCTCGCTGGCTATGTTTTTTACAATTATGTTTAATTGTGCCCCTAATAAACTTAACTCCGGTAAAATCCGTAACATTTGTATTTTTACTTTGTTGGGCCACAAGGTTTACAAACCGGAGTATAATATTCCCCCATCATGAACTTCTTCCCAAAGGCCAAGGTTGTTTATTGTGACAAAGAACCATCATTGAATTCAAATACGATCTCGGCCATGCTAACTAACCATTTTGCCGCCTCTTGGCCGGGCAAGTAGAGCGCTTTCATAGCACCCGGCTAGACCTTTCTAGATGCCTAAAAATCGACAAAGGCATAAATGACACTGTGGAATTAATCTTGTAGGCCACTACTAAGTACAACATGTCCATTCACTCGGTCATCAATAAGAGACCAGTTGACGCCATGCAAGCGCACTCGGACGACCCGCAGGTGGAGGTACAAGAAAGAATCAAAAACGTGCAAGACACACTCCGAGAAAATGCATCTTGGTGGAACAGTCTTTGAAGTTGGCGAAAAAGTCTTGATAAAATCCAACCGAAGGCTCGGCAACAAACTCACGCCTTTGTGTGAGGAAAAGGCTGTAGAAGCGGACCTGCGGACCGCGGTCCTCATTAAGGGGAGGGTGGTCCACAAAGACAACCTAAAGTGACTCCATCAAGCCAGGTCCTTTTTTTCTTTTTTTTTTCTTATTTTTAGCCACTTGGCAAAATCTTTTTTATTAGTGAAAAGTTCTATTGATAACTCTTTGGCCACTTGGCATACATTTTTCTAGTTATTAGTTCCATTGCCGCTGGTGCGTTTGTTGCTTTTTATGTTAAGCTGGCTTCTTTTGGTGGTGGGATATCTCTTCACGAACAAAAATAGCTAATGTTCCACTCCACAGGTTCAAACACATCCTCGTCCTCTACCTGTCCCTGGTGTCAGCGCACATCACTACATTCATTCCCATCATTGATGGCCGAATCCTGGTATGGGAAGAGGCTGCCTATGTCAGACACTCAGCAAACCTTTTGGAGTACATGCGCATAGTGGAAGAAACAAGCGGCATGAGCGACATGTTCCCACAGTCGCACATGAGGAAATTGCTTGAAGGCGATACCGCTCACATACGAGACCTCCTGGAATCGTTACTGGGATCGATATTAAAAGTTGTGGCAGGGACACCGGATGCCGGTGATTTAGAGAAGGTAAGATTCACAGAGATGCGGTTGACTGAATCAAATAATAGGCAAATATAAATAAATACCAAGGTTCAAAATCAAATTAATCAACTAACCACTACCGTCAATCAAATTCTGAAGACATACAAAATCTCGCAAGTCGACTCTGGCCGTTTATATGAGACAATGCTTGCTCGGAATATGATGCTGATGATGGAGTTGCAAAATTTAATGCTTGCCATAACACTTGCCAAAGTTAATATTGTTAGCCCAAACATTTTAGATCATTTCTATCAGCAGAAAGCTCATGTGTCAGGGAGCTTCACGCAGGCGGAATAGCGAACTGTGAAACCCAACCAAGCGACCTGCACCCAATCACTAGCGTGGACGAGGGAGTCATCATCGTCAACGACCGGTCAGCCAGGGCCCAAATGGACAACGGCACAAAAGTGTGGGTGCATGGCACACACCTCATCACTTTCAACGAGCGCGCGAAAATAAACGAGACTTTGTTCATCAACCACAACAATGCCCAGAAAAGGACTCTAGGGGTAGCAAACAGCCTCCCTTACCTTCACCGCTTAAATGAACGTAACTTTTAGTTCATTCAGGAGTTTGGGGAAGAAATCGAAACCAACCGAACATATCGCATAGCGCTAATTGCAGGAATGATTTGTTGCGCGTTGGTTTGTATCGCCATCACTTGTCAGCGGCTCACCAGAGCAAAGAGATCTGCGGTCCAGTTGAGAGCGCTGATTGCGGTATTAGGATCGATCGAGGGCGGCCTAGATCATGAAGGGGGAGTAACAAACAATAAGTAATGCATATTAATGATACCTAAAAATAATACCTAATAATACCAAAAGTGCTGATGCAGCATATGTCGCTATAGTGGGTCGGCCCTTATATAATTGGCCGTCAGCTATCATACGACTTCTGCACATGTGGCAGGGTCAGCACTTTTTGATTATGATCGGCCGGCTCGCCGGCTATGTTTTTTACAATTAAGTTCAGTTTGTGTATGAATATTAATGAGCGCACTGGCCCCTAATAAACTTAACTCCGGTCAAATCCGTAACCTTTGTATTTTTACTTTTTTGAGCCACAAACAGAAGTATAATATTCTCCCATCATAAACTTCATACGTAAAGTAATAGTGTCGTTAATCGGCCAGCCCAGCACCCCTCTCGAGAGTGGAGTAAAATCATCAATTTACAGCTGCACCTTCCCCCCAGTGAAGGAGGCCGCTCACTTCAGTAAAATCTCCAATCTACAGCTGCCCCTTCCCCTCAGCGGAGGAAGTTGCCCATTCACGAAACCGACTTCGGCGTGGGACCCACACTTACATAATTTATACGTATTTAAATGTACATATGTATGTGCATGCTATTATATATTTGTACTTTGAATACATACATATACAGGGGTGCCACAGAAGCCACTAGTGAAATGATAAACCGCGAAGAGGATTTCCGCTTCAAAATTTCCGCCGTGTCACAGAATTCCGTGCGATTTCTTTTTTCTTAGCATTGTCACAAACCAAGTTCGAACTAAGGCTACGGTTGACACCTTTCAAGATTCAATTCGAATAGGGTTCATTTTGCAGTTTTATTGATTTTATCATATCAAAAAAATTGGTTTTTCTTTTATGATATAAAATAATTGATTTTTCAAAGCTTTAATTTTATAATTTCAAAGCAAAAAAAACATCCCATATCGTGCGAGTCAAACAAACCAATGTACTCGGCAGCTCTAGCAGTTGTCTGGCAACTCTCCGTGAAGGGCAGCAATCAGCTGTTAAAAACAAACCCACATCTGACTTTACAGTAAACTAAATTTAAATGCTTTTACCGAGACTGTTGGACATCGAAGAACTACGGAGGCAACATATTAGATTACAAACCTTGCAGCTCAGGCTTCTCAGATGCGCATCGGGCTCGTTTTCGCATTCAGACGATACGTGATTGTCTTCTCAAACTACTGCTAATTTAGTTCATTACAATTACCAGTTTTTGGTACCAGTTTTTGTAGTTCTAACAGGTGGCATCGCTTCAAAATGCCAAAACAAAACTATCAAACCATTTCTACACATTATTGCCATTGAATTTATGTCAAAAACCCCTGTTCGGCTGAGTGCAGACCAATGGCAGCACAAATAGAAGCATAGCGATCATTATACCAAAAACTGAGAAGACAATCACGTATCGTCTGAACGCGAAAACGAGCCCGATGCGCATCTGAGAAGCCTGAGCTGCAAGGTTTGTAATCTAATATGATGCCTCCGTAGTTCTTCGATGTCCAACAGTCTCGGTAAAAGCATTTAAATTTAGTTTACTGTAAAGTCAGATGTGTGTTTGTTTTTAACAGCTGATTGCTGCCCTTCACGGAGAGTTGCCAGACAACTGCTAGAGCTGCCGAGTACATTGGTTTGTTTGACTCGCACGATATGGGATGTTTTTTTTGCTTTGAAATTATAAAAGCACAGCTTTGAAAAATCAGTTATTTTATATCATAAAAGAAAAAAAGAAAAACCAATTGTTTTGATATGATAAAATCAATAAAACTGCAAAATGAACCCTATTCGAATTTAATCTTGAAAGGTGTCAACCCTAGCCTTTTTTCGAATTTGGTTTGTGACAATACTAAGAAAAATGAAATCGCTCGGAATTCTGTGGCACGGCGGAAATTTCAGTTTCGGATTCCCATTTCACTAGTGATTTCTGTGGCACACCTGTATTATTCTTTTGTGCAAATACTTTCAAAGAACATAAGATACCATCTCAGACACAATCAAGTGTATAGTAGAGTGGGCTGGGATCCAAAATTTTTTAATCTTTAGTCGGCCTGGTATAATTTCTTATTTCTTCTTGTGTTAAGGGATTTTAAAACGAGGGCAAAAAACCTATTTGAAATCGGTTAACGTTTGATCCTTGCTCATTGTTCAGAGTGAGGACGGCGCTGGCGGGGCAACAGCTCTGTGGGCATTCCAGCCACACCACTGTTAGCAATCAAGCTACGTAAGCTGTTGCCCTCGCTCTCGCTCTCACGCTTATGAGCGTTTTTCCCCTCGGTGACGCGCTCTCGTGCGCTGAGACTCACCACGCTTACGCTCCCGCCCACGCTCACGCATCGGCTCCCGCTGCCGACAGCCGCCGGCAGCTGACTTCGACTAGTATAATTCACTTCTTCACCCACAAGCAAAACGGCCGGCTTTGCACGCGTTCCTATAATTATATATAAGTAAACAAAACTACAGATATACATTGAAAAACTTGGACCTGCCTAACGTCTTATTTTGGGAATTCAACGGTGGGACTTCGAGACGCCTCTTCGCTTAAACACTTATCGAGGTCAAAAAAATTAACTTTTGGCCCTAGTCAAAATTTGGACTTGGCGAACGTTTTCTCGCCCACTTAAAAGCTGACATGTAGCCATGATGATCGCAAACAATGTTCGAATTGGATTCGCTGGCACAGAAACAGTTGCATCGGCGAACGTTGAGTCCCAATGTATATCGTTTTCGAGCAAATTCAAACGTTGGCAACTATCCCGAAAAGTGGCGCACAGAACACAGAACCAAAAGCAAACGAAGAAAGAAGCATTTGTCTAGGCGTGGATGAACTGTGTATATTCGTCCAAGGGCATCAGTCGAATAGAAATCAAAGAAGCCAGCAACAGCGTCTTCACCAACGGACGGGGAAAACGCTTTGTGCAATTCTCGTTATCCATACATTTTGAGTCTGGGTTGCGGACTCCGCAAGGGCCATGGATCTTGTTTGTTGTCACAATGGAATGCAATTCCGGATCAGTTTCGGGATCTGGTACTTTGGCAGAAATGAAAGAATCAATATGATCTGTTCGAATCTTGTCGAACATTCAAAGCAAAATGTGTACATATGGTAAACCACGCTTCTGCCATTCAATCGAGTACATCCAACAAAGAATTTCGCCAAACAATTTTTCTTAACAATGTAATTCATGGGTACTCTGATCTTTTCTTTGAATACTCGTGCAGGGATGTCATGTCGATCGCTATAGGTTTGTCCTGTCAGCAACAGATTCGTAATGTCAGGCCATTTCCGATTGCAAGTGAACGTGATGAATAAAACAGGACGTCCGTAATTCTGCACGTACGCGGGCTTCCAACATAAGTAGCTGGGAGAATTGTCAAACAACCTATGTTTGCGGCGTTTCCTTCAGTAGCGATGGCGTCACGCAAGTGGATGTACACTGAGATCGTAACTTCGACTGATTAAAACGAATGAAATTGAGCCGCTCCGTTTCGACCTTTACATGGTGCATGGTACATGGTGAAGCAGTACTGTTGAAACAACCCGCGATATCTCAACAGATGATTGTCAACCACTTGCCGAATAATCCATCGATACGCATATGCAATTCATTGCGCTGACCTTATTCGTTTCATCTCCCAAAAAAATATGAATTTATCCAACTTAGTTGTAGAATGCAAAAATTAAGTAATTACTTTTAAACAAACCTGTCGTTGGTCAATGTAAGAAGTAATTACTTTTAAACAAACCTGTTGTTGGTCAATGCAACGACATTCTCTTCATTTCTAAAATGCCTCTAAATCTAAATAAATGTCATGCTGTTACGATAAAACTAAAAACGCAGTATCGTAGAGAATGCCCATATCTACCTGCAAAGAAACGCTACTCATTCTCTTTCTCGCTCGCACACTCTGCCGCGTTCAGTGCGCGAGCAACCCTTAGCGGAGGAGATGTATTTTATAAATGGTACATCTATAATCTACATGTTATATGTAAAATATACATTGTATATGTAGATAGCAGATGTAGCAAAAAAAAAAATGTTAAATTTTTTTTTAAATTCTAAAATTCTAAAAAATCTTATGCTCAAAAATGTATATACTGACTGAGTACGGGTATAAGTATAGTCGCGTCCCCAGAAGCGACTCACACGTTCCTTCTCGCTTATATATATATTTTTGTGAATGGATTTAGGAACTCTTGATCTCAAATGATATAAAACTGTTATTTTGTATAATTTTAATCATATCTTTGCAGTTTACTATGTATTTTTGATATTTTTTTATCTTGCAAAACATCGATGTTTCATCGATGTTTTTCACTAAAACATCGAAAACAGCGATGTCTCCAAACATCGATGTTTTTCCACATCTACTGGCGAGACCGTGTTTCCACGGTGTGTCTTCGACCCGGAAATACTTAATTATTGCTAACTTATGATTATTGGGTAACAATAATTGTGTGGTGTGGTAACTAGGTCGAAGGTTGGTGCTTCCGCATCGCGGAAGGTGGTAGCTGAATTTGGGTCGATAATTTGAGGCCGAAATATCGCAAAGAAGTGGGTGACCGAGAATTTAGTGCTGTCTTCGCTGATTGTGCGTTGTGCGTTGCTTAAGCTTATTTTATTTTCCGGAGTTGCTGACACACCGCTATTTGTGGAGAACCGTGGCTGAAAAGTTAGGCATTACCGCATTCGGAAAACGCAAAAAAAGTGAATTCATTTTAACAGCTGTGGCAGCACGAATTAGCTTTCGATAAATCTCTGTTTAACATAACAAGGCCTTTTGTATGAGCTGGCACTAACGCGTGGGTATAACTGCAGTTTTTGCCCTCTAAGGAGCGATCGCATTGTCGGCAGAAATCGCTGCAGAAGCGGTTATTGTTGACTCAGCTACAATGCCTTGTCGTGTGTTATGATGTCTCCCGTTACATGGACAGACTTGATTTATTCGATAGGTATAGTTTTATATAATATTTGTTCGGTCAAACTCTTAGTATCATAAAATGTTGCATTGTATGTTTGAACTTAAATGAATAATCACTTAATTGACCCTTGCTTTGTAGTACCTTACGCTCATTGTTACTCTCCTTGTTACGCTCTTGCATTGAACACACCACATTAGAGGCCCGCTTATGCTCAGTGCTCAGGCACTTAGAAACCGAATAAATAGTCATTGGCTAGTACTCAACCGAACCCCTTCGACTTTTGGATAACTCTTGGTGTCTGGTTTCCCAGTGGCGCAAAATAACGAATTTCCACCTTTGTTTGCTATTTTCATTGCATATAAATATTGTAACCGCTTATAATTATTCACGGCAGCGGCAGTTCTTTCGCATCTTTATATCTCCTTCATTTCACTACTGCAGCTGCAGCATCTATGCTGTTCTCTCGCATTCTTTCTCTCTATCTATCGCTCGTGCTCGGCTCAGCAGCAGTCCGAGCTTATATCGCTTCTTTCGTTCTCTCTCTCGCTTGCATTAGGGCACGGCCAATTCGGTCCACCTGCCCTCTTTCAGTTTTTATTTGATTAATGATGACGATCAATTAAAGACTGAAAGACTAGAAAGACTAAAAAACACTCACGTTCTACAGTCTTGATCTATTGTCTCGCATATTTAATAGACCCTTGCGTCTTCATTTCATCGCTTTGATTTGATCAACCTGCACCTCTCGCTTTTTCTTTCGCTACACCTCTACATGCCATATTTTGCCTACTTATAACAAATAAACTGTACAAACATAAACAATATCGAATCCGCT